AAGAAAACAAAATAACTAGCAAGAACAAGATGTTAAATGCAGAAGCAAATACTCAGTGCTGGTGAAAGGAAGATAATGATCAAGAACTCAGAAAACATAACAAAATCCTAAAGCGAATAGTACATACACATGAAAATGCCCTGATTTAATGAAATAATATCCAATTGAGGAAGCTGAAGTCTAGATATCAAAGCAGTCATAGCAGCATGCCAAGAGGTGACAGAGCCATTTCTACATATCTGTGCTTTCCAGTCATACAGAGAATTCCAGTGTTTGCACCATGCAGCTATGTAGCCTTGGGCAAATCAGATAATGTCTGTGCCTCAATTTCTTCATCTGTACAATGGGCATATCAACTGCATCTTTTTTTTTATTTTTATTTTTATTCTTTTTTTGACATGCAGAGTGGACAGTGAGAGAGAGAGAGACAGAGAGAAAGGTCTTCCTTTTGCCGTTGGTTCACCCTCCAATGGCCGCTGCGGCCGGCGCACCGCGCTGATCCGATGGCAGGAGCCAGGTATTTATCCTGGTCTCCCATGGGGTGCAGGGCCCAAGTACTTGAGCCATCCTCCACTGCACTCCCGGGCCACAGCAGAGAGCTGGCCTGGAAGAGGGGCAACCGGGACAGAATCCGGCGCCCCGACTGGGACTAGAACCCGGTGTGCTGGCGCCGCAAGGCGGAGGATTAGCCTAGTAAGCCACGGCACTGGCCTCAACTGCATCTTTTTCTTTTTCTTTTTTTTTTTTTTTCTTTTTTTTTGACAGGCAGAGTGGACAGTGAGAGAGAGAGACAGAGAGAGAGGTCTTCCTTTGCCGTTGGTTCACCCTCCAATGGCCGCCGTGGCCGGCACGCTGCGGCCGGCGCACCGCGCTGATCCGATGGCAGGAGCCAGGAGCCAGGTGCTTTTCCTGGTCTCCCATGGGGTGCAGGGCCCAAGCACCTGGGCCATCCTCCACTGCACTCCCTGGCCACAGCAGAGGGCTGGCCTGGAAGAGGGGCAACCGGGACAGAATCCGGCGCCCCGACCGGGACTAGAACCCGGTGTGCCGGCGCCGCTAGGCGGAGGATTAGCCTAGTGAGCCGCGGCGCCGGCCTCAACTGCATCTTTTTCTAAAAGATGGTAGTAAAAATAAACAGAGCAGTTGGTAAATGCTCAATACTATATATATATATAAAAGGTTAACTGTAAACTAACGTCTATGAACAGAGTATATTGGGTATTCTATAATGATGACCCTGGGGCTCTATTTTTTCAACAGTTTGGCACCTTAATTTTTAATCTTGGGGCTGGTGCTCTGGCGCAGCAGGTTAAAACCCTGACCTGAAGCGCCAGCATCCCACATGGGTGCCAGTTTTAGTTCCGGCTGCTCCTCTTCCCATCCAGCTCTCTGCTACAGCCTGGGAAAGCAGAAGAAGATGGCCCAAGTCCTTGGGCCCCTACACACACGTGGAAGACCCAGAAGAAGCTCCTGGCTCCTGGCTCCAGATTGGTGCATCTCCGGCTATTGCGGCTATCTGGGGAGTGAACCAGCGGATGGAAGACCTCTCTCTCTCTCTGTTTCTACCTCTCTCTGTAACTGTCTTTCAAATATATAAAATAAATCTTACAAAAAATTTTAATCTCACTCTTTGCACACATTTTCAACACATACAGTGGTTCACTTTCCTAGAAGCTTTCCAGAAATATATTAAAACATTTTTTTAACTTATTTGAAGGCAGAGAGAGAGAGAGAGAAACAAAGAGAAAGTTTGCTCTCATCTGGTGACTCACTTCCCAAATGCCTATCACAGCCAAGCCAGGGCTAGAGCCAGAAACTGGGAATGAATGCAATCCTGTCTTCCATGCGGGCGGCAGGAATGCGAGCCACAGCCATTGCCTCCCAGGGTTTACATTAGTGGGAAGAGATCATCAGGAGCTGGAGTCAGGAACTCAACTCAGGCAATGATGTGGAATGCAAGTGTTTTAAGCACTAGGCTAAGCACCTGCTCCTGGAAATACCTTTTCCAAAATAATAATAATGATAATAATAAAATAATAAACCCCAATTGCTGAAAATGAAAAGCTTAAGTGATTTATAGTCAGTTCATAAATCTGTGGCCCAGTACTGTTGTTATTAGGATTTGAGCAAGGATTAAAATATAATTGAGATTGAATGGGCTAAGTAAGTACCCTGTAGGAACTCTATAAATCTCTTACTTTATTTAGGACTAAGAACAATTAGATAAATCTGGAGGTAAATGATTTACAATAATCCTATGGGGGTCTCCTTTAAAGGAAAGTTGTAGTGAAAGCTTTAATAGAGTTAATTTAACTCTATCAGACAACAAACTTGATTTATTAAAAATTATGTTCCTCATATTGCATTTTATCATGTAAGACACGGTTGCACTGCTGCAACAAGAAACTGTAAGAACAAACAGAATAATGCAATGTCAAAAGTGCTTCATAAAGGAAAATACTTGACAACTTTAACTGTTAAAAAGGTCTCTAAGGTTTCATTTGATAAGAAACCGTGATCAAGCTGAAAGGCTTTAAAGAAAAGCCATCGAGGGTGACTGTTTCCTAGAGCAGAGTGAAGTAAGTTCATTTTCCTATGTGTGCTCCTAGCAGGACTATGGTATGTATGAAAACCTAAGGAAAAAGCAAGGTTAGCCTCAACATGGTTTCACTAGATAAGCCCTGTAACAGCACACTGCCTTACTAAATCTAGAGTAATTCATTTTTCCAAACACACTGCAACCCAACAAGAGTGTACCTCCTGCAGCCAATGAGGCAAAAATGAAAACCATGGACTTTGCTGAAGAAATGTTTCCTCTATACACTTACAATCCCAGTGAGTATGAATCAAGAGAGACCCACATTTCAAAGGGAGGGGGGAGACACACGTTTAAAAATTGTCTTTGCATTCTGAGTCTTTCACTTGATGCCCATAAAATAGAGAACATTCAAAAGCAATTCTTGGACACCTACTCAAAGATGCGGCAAAGCAGGCACAATGGATGGCATTTTCAGAGAGTTCTAGTGACCTCAGAGTTCTCAAGTCACACAAAGGGTGGTGCAGGGTGGGTCCCAGCCGGGGGTTGTAGTTCTGTGTTAGGGACAATTTTGACCTAAGATGCATGAAAATGCTCTCTCTCCATGACTACTGAGATTAACAATACCATGACTTGGAAGAAGTTTTCAACAACTTACACTTCTACCCTGATTTATGGATTCCAAAGGGCTCTGACACAAAGCATCTCATGTGACCTTGACTGCTGTCTCAAGTGGCAAGGACAGCAGGCATCCTGTGAGAACCCTCATTTCTGATCCTTAATCCAGTGATCAAAGAAAATAAAAATTTGAAAAAGGCACAAGAAGTGTGCCTATCCCATCATTTAACTGCTTAAAAGTGGATTTCAGTTGCACTGCCACCCAACGAGGAGCTTGTCAGAGTAATCAGGTCAGAGGAGAGAGTGGCCTCCAGCAGTTCTGCAGGAGGCAACACATTTTCTAGGAGATGTGAGAGGAAAACGAACACGGCACAAATCCAGGAGATGCAATGGCACTACTTAGCCTGTGTGGATACAGACTGCTCATGCCTGTATGCTGTTTGTCCTCTCGGGGCCAGAGTGCACTTTCTGCGACCAAAGATCAAAGGCTAAGGTAACATCTCTGTGGGAGTCATTTCAGCAGCCACAAAATGATCCAAGAGGAACTTAAGCACAGACTTTCCTGTTGGCCTCCTTGTTTCTATGTGACAAGGTTTAACAAGAGAAGCTGACCAGAATGCATAGTAGGACACTGGAAAACCTCAGCAGTATCTAATGACTTAATATCAGTAAACATGAAAAGGGACAGATAAGGCCCCATCCATAACCACACCTAGTGACAATCAGCTAACAACAGAGGCATCCTTCCTGGTACCAAGACAATGACTGCTCCTTTGAGCTTCACAGCTACAGCCCTGTAGGAACTTCTAAGGATGTCTTGCTAACACTCATTTACTCCATTCACTGATTCAGCAATTAGTGAACAAGTACCTCCTATGGCAGGTCTTTTCTAGCACTGAGGATATAGGCACCGCCCTTACAAAGCTCTCATTTTAGCAAGGGAGAGACAGCACACCAACAAGCAAAATGTATCGTGTATGAGTTGGTAAAAAGTGCTCTAGAGAATGATGCAGGTCAGCGGGATGGGGGAGCGATGGATATGGGGGGGCACTGCAATACAAGGCTACAAGGAACGTGCGTGTTTATAAAAATAATAATGTTAGGGAGACAGAAGTGTAAGGTATGTGAAGATGTACATTAAGAAGCACAGACTAAAACCCAGAGGTTTCAGAAAGTTCCTATCTATCGAAAGGAAAGAAATGCCAGATAAAACTGGTGGGCGAGATCTTCAGATGCTCTGTCCTGTTACAAGTCACCCACTACTTAACTTCTCAATGAGTATGTCGTTTGCTGGAATTCACTACAGTTTATTCCACCATTCTCAACCTGTAACATTAACCTGCAGTTCTGCCTTCTCCCCAAAGGATGAATAACACACACCAGACCAGTAATGTGTCTCTAGGCTTCCACATACAGTCCCCATGAACCAAAACTTCCCACATTAAGATAGTTTCAGTGAGCCACCTCAGAGGAGAAAACTCTCCTTTAAAAAATTATCACAAACTGGGATTTAAAAACTTAAGAACAAATTGCCAATCCAAGTGAAATTTAATCCAGGTAGATGATACATAATGTGTTTGTGTGTTCTTCCTTTCTACTGCTACCTCCCTCCCCTAGATGCACATGTATCCTAGTTTGGCTCATGGTTATCCCTCTTAAAGAGCATTTTACTACCTTGAAGATATTGAAGGAGCAAGATTTTCCCACGTTACCCTTAGTGAGTGGTCTTTTAGAATGGGCAGGCTCTAAAAGGCTGCAACAATATTTTGTCGTGGCTCTCACACTGAACTGAGAACAAAAGAGCAAACAACCAGCCCGCGGGAAGGAAGCGCAGTGTGTGACTTACCTGGAATGGGAATGATAGGAATACTCTCATTGGGGACCACCCGAGGCGAGTTGCTATCTTCCACATAGAAATGAGCAGTCTGGAAACATTTTCTGCGTAGACAAGAGAAAACCATGTCAGCAGAGAGACCCGAGAAGTACACTTGTCTGAGTTCCTCATTTTTCAATTCTTCTTTCATAGATTTTTTTCCCCAGCTTTAAACATCACACAGCACTGAAGGCAAACTCACAAAAAAGTAACAGGGGGTCAGGACAACGTTCAGCCTAACTGGAGGAACCCAAAGTAGCTGCGTACCCGTGTTTTCTTCTAACCACATCCAACCTGGGAAGTGCACAGCGAAAGGCTTACTGTTGAACTGCTCAGATATGTGAACACTTGGGCACACAGTGAACCTGCTCCACAAACCGCTAGGATTTCCCCCACAGTATTTCTAACTTTGGTATTTTACAGGGGGATACGTTGCTCTTCTCACCGCCCAGCACTAAGTTCAGAACCACATCTCGAACCCTCCCCAATGCAGTCATCCCGCAACCCAAGTACACAACAGCAGCACATTGTCTGCGCTTAGCAAAGGGCCCCCAAGCCTCAGACAGCTCTGTAAAGGGGTCAGAGGGCTGACAAGGGGGCAAACACTCAAAGTCCGAGGCCCTTGCCAACCACATCCCAGGCAAGCACCTGACGCCCTCCTATGACATCTGCTTGCTTTTTTCTGTTTTCTTTTTCCTTTTGTTTTTACCTGGACTTGAGGCAAAGCAGGGAGCACACACTGGTCATCATAGGACAGGCAGTGAACAGAAAAGCCATCAGCAGCTCACTCAGCCTCTGCCCGCTGATGCTGGCCGGCCCTCGGCTTTCCAGCCTCCACGTCACTGTTCATTGGGGCCCTAATGAGCTGCCGGAAGCACGGGCTGAATATTTAATGAGGCTGCTCAGCGTGAATGGCTATTGTGACCAGAGAAGGGTCCCTGTTCATCTGGCGGAGGGGCTGTACAATGGCTGGCCCTACTGCTGCGTCTTTCAGCCGAGCAGGCGGCACCCTTCTGGTGCTCCGCGGCCCTGGGACCCGTCCCGCTCCTCTGGCGTCTCCCACCAGGCAACACTTGCACACACCACAGCTCTGCTTTTTCACTGGGGGCCAGATTCCGACTCTCAGCGTAAGCGAACCTGTGTTCAGAACTGCCTTTGCTCAGCTCATCAACAGCACGCTGGCATGATTTTGTTGGGTATGTCATGTTTCTACAAAGCCTCGGAGCAGAGTTAAGCAGCTAGAAAAAAAAAAAATCAACCAATTCTACAAGCCAGAGATTTCTGTGGGAGGGAAGAGATCTTGGAGTCCAAGAAGAGCCCTTTCCTTCTCAGCTTTATATGGGGCTGTTACAACCGCAGGCCATGCAAAGTGCTGCCCCGGCATTGTGGGAAGCAGTTTTCTTTAGGCAGTACCTATTTGCAGATGGAAAGTGGCACTAACCAATCGTACATTTGGGCACTGCTCTAGAATAAACTGGATTATGACTTCAGACCAGAGGGGATTCTGAACAGAAACTGCTCAAACTGGTGGCACACGTCTCACAGAACTATTCTTGCACGGCACTGAGAAAAATGATTGTTTTCTAGGAGTTGCATAGTTGTTACATAAACTTATATTTTTATCACTGCCTTTCCCTAAATGGAAAGCATATCAGTTGGTCAGACTTAAGTTACATGGATATGAAATGCACCAAAATATTACAATCTAATGAATGTAAAGTGTTAAAATCCACGGGCAAAAATCATGACTTTGATGTTGGAGATAATAGCTCTGATTCTGAATGAGCGACCAACTTGTCTACTCCTAGACTCTTTCCTCCCTCTCTTCCATGTCACCCATATGCACAGATTTCCAGAATGCAATGTTAGCATTATAACATGGATTATAGACTTCACAAATGAGCTAGAACCACAGCCATCCAGCATCACAGCTAAGGGTAACCTGCTTTCATGGAGTCAGGGACCATCATTCAGACCCAAGCAGCGCTCTCCCTCACTGAAGTGAGGGGCGCATGAGCCACAAGGTCGGCCTTTAACAAATGGAGAAAACAATCAAAAGGAAGTCCGCCGTCCTTGTTGATTGAACGTAAAACTATTTGTAAACAGAATCATTAGTGGTCACATGACTGTGACAGTCAAGTGACCTGGAAAGGAAGTACTACCGTGTGGCTTTTTTCTTCCCTAGAAGATGACTGACACAGCTCAGCCAGTTGCTCACTTACGGAGGGAGCCCAGGGCTCTGCATTCTCTCTGGAAAAAGCAGTGTGTATTGAAGCGCATCGCACGCTGGTGCGCCAGGTGCTGCTGTTTAGGATGGGTTTTCCCCAGAGCAAAATCACTCTGTGACTGCCAGGGAAGAGCACGTATCTGGGGCTGAGGCTCGGAAACCTGGGGATGAAGCTCCACACATCTGCGCCTTGCTGCCTGGCAGTCGCCCGCCTCCCCAAGATGCCAGTGCTGACCCTTGGCTGGAGGGGTGGGGTCTCCCCCCACAGAACAGATGTCAGTGGCTTCAACACCCTCTGGGCAACTAGCTACAAGCCCTAAAGCTACATCCTTAAGCTTGAAGTGGATTTATAGTATAAAGCATGACATAAGTAACAGACGATCACTGCAGAAAAATCAGCAAACACATATGAACAGAAACAAAAATCAATTAAAATCACCCCAAACCTTCTGGTGATCATCACTAATAACTTGGGATATGCCCTTCCATCCTTTTCCTCATTTTTTAATTGACTAATTCTTGATCATCCGCACTGAAGGGCTAACAGCAGAAGAATAAACATGACAGACAAGGCCCCTACCCTCATGGTATTTGTTTTCTTGGGGAAAATCAACAACACACACGTACACCAACAGTGACAAAAAGCCAGGAACTACGAAGACAACAGAAAAGAAGGATGCCGTAAGTGACGAGGGGTGGAGGAAGGGACTGCGGCAGTGGCATCTGATCTGAGAGTTGATTAAGGAGGTCCAGCTCTGCGAAGCTCTAGGGGCAGATCATTCTAAGCAGATCAAACAGAGTTACAGAGCTCGAGAGCACAATCAGCATGGCCGGGCAAGGGAATGGAAATGACGCCATGGGCCAGAACAGGGAAAGGTTGCAGAAGGTCAGATCAGAGAGGTGGGCAAGAGCCAGAATGTCCAAGACCCAGCAGGCCACAGAGAATCGCCCTTGGTGCCTACAAGCACGGGAAATCAGTGGAGGGCTTTCATCTGCGGAGCGGCACAGTCCGGTCTATTTCACAAACCTGAGTAGGACTGCTCTGAGGTGAATGGATTATTCAGTGGCAAGAATGGAGGAAGCCAAAAAGCAGGGGCTGCTGTTGCAATGCCACCGAAATACAGACAGAGCATTTTCTTCTGTATTGTTTTTAAAAATGTAATGACGGGCTGGCATTGTGGCACAGCAGGTTAAACCACTCCTTTTGATGCCAGCATGGAGTCCCAATGGCTCCGCTTTCAATCCAGCTTCCTGCTAATGTGCCTGGGAAGGCAGCAGAAGATGGCTCAAGTACTTGGGACCCTGCCACTCATGTGGGAGACCAGGATCAAGCTCCTGGTGCTGGCTTCAGCCCATCCCAGCCCTGGCTGTTGCAGCCATTTGGAGAGTGATCCAGTGGACTGAAGACATCAGTCTCCCAATCCATCTCTCTCTCCTTGATGTGTTGCCTTTCAAAAAAAAAAAAATAATAATAAATACATCTTTAAACAATTAACATGAGCTCATACCATGCACATTTCTCCTCGTTACCAAATACAGTTCTACATCCTCATTACTAACACTTGCTTCCTCTTCTATTCATGCAGTACTACATTGCGGGTTTATCATTTAACTTATTCCTTTACTATTTCTTGGGGTCCTGCTGTGGGCCAGGGACTGAGGAAGGCACTAGGTTGCTGACAACTTCACTACCTTTAACTTTGAGATGATCCCTGCTCAAGTTAGGAGTTTAAGACCTCAGGAAAGTGGCTGGCTGTCATGTGCCAGTGTATTGTAGCTGGCTCATTTCTGAGATGTCTCAAGAAAAGCGGTTTTTGACCTTGAGCAGTGTCTGAGAATAAAAAAAAAAGAAAAGAAAAAGCAAAGGCAGGGATTTTTGAAGAAGAAGAAAACACAAGTTTTAATGCCTTTCAACTTCCCAACTGTGAAATGTTCAAAGAGGTGTCATTTCTCTAATTTCGAACTCAGGGGAATGAAGATGAAACATCTGTGACTGCCCACATGTGTCACTGAGCGGGGGACTTCCATTTTTCTACCCAGGTCCAGTTCTCTTTTAACTAACCTACCCCAAAAGTCCCTCTTTGAATGAAACAGATTTCCAGGGTCATGAACTATTAGCTATTGTCTAAAATGATAATTTCTTCACCATCAACCTTTGCTTATGCAAGTGCTACGAAAAGGCAAAAAGATGAAGCATATGGAGTAACAAAAACATATTTACAAGTTGAACTCCAAATCATACGCCCTCAGACCCCACCTTACATTTCAATTTCTCCCTCTTCCTCTCACTTCCTGCTACCCCAGGAGGGGCCTTTGGGAACTGAGGGCAGCTAACACCGTTCTCCTTGACCCTTCCTGGCCTCCTCATTACCTCAATTACTTACTCCCTGCTGCCCTTTGCAGCATGTATGTTTCTGACACGCTGGAGCTTACCAATTCAGGCACTACCATAGTTTTGAAAAGTCCCAGAAACTCTGCCTCTTAAATTCTCAGTCAACTGATGGCTGTTAACCAGCAGCGCCTGTCTCTCTGGTTTAGGGAGCTTTATACAAAATCCACTATGCCTGAGCCGTGCACCCTGGGGATTCTGGCTGAGCAGCTCTGGAGCACAGCCGTTGTGTGTGTGCACTGTCTCTGGTTAAGAACGGCTGTGGTACACAGACAACTAAAAATAAATAAATACATCAACAAATAAAACCATCTTAAATGGTAGGTATTGTAAAGGTGCCCATAAAAGTAACATTAGGACTTGTAAGATCCCATATAGGATAAGAAACAGTCATTATGAATTAGGCACTATTAACACCATCATCTCAAATACAGGAAGCCAAACTGTCT